AATCAAATTTACTACAAAATAAATATATAATAAAACTTTAATTAATTAACCATATATTATATTAAAAAATATATATACTTATCACAATTTTCCAATTAACAATATTATTTCCGTTTATGAGCAGCCGGTCCCGCCGCACCCGCTTCACGTATCAGAGGTCACGATCACCCCTTTCGACCTTAATCATCCACAAATTTAAAAAGCCGAAAAAAACAAGGAGCTTATTTGCAAGGTTGTTCATATAAAATAATATAAATATAAATTGACATCCCATAAAGTAGCATTAAACTAAAAATTACAAATTTACCAACCACAACACCATGCTGCACCGCTCAACAATTCCAGTATTCGTAAAACTGTAGAGTGGGAAGAAAAATTAAAATTAATAAAAATAAAAACTAACGAAATTTGCTACTGCTCTCTGACAACTAACTTCGACGGATTCTGCCGCCGCCGGCGACATCACCACCAGCCGCGATGATGGTGGTTTGACCTCCTCCGCCTCCAGGCCTGAACGCCCTCATAGGGCTAGCGAAAGCCCAGGCCCAGCTTTTGGTCCGACCATGAGGCGTCCTACCACGCCTCCCCACCGGTAAGCGACCGGATTCACCGCATGCATCGGCCGTCGACGTGGCTGAAAGCCAGTAGGCCGTCATGCCGAGACCGACAAAGATGCCGCCGCACTTGATTCGCTCCTTAATCCGCTGCTCCTCGTTCTCATTTTCGTGTCCTTCGCTGCGGTGGATGGAAGCTTTTTGTTTAGCTTCTCGGTGAGATTCCACTCGCCGGAGAGTACAGTCTCCGAATCCATTAGAGATCCGCTCGAGAAAATCACCGGAAAAGCTTCGACTCCCGCAGCCCACCGATCTGGATCTTGCCACCGTGCGCCCGAACGAGGAGGACGCCTGACTTCCGCTAGGACTGGCATCGTCGTTTCCAGCGGAGGCTTCTTCTTCTTTTGCGGACTTCGGAAGCTCTGTTACGCAGTTACCGGCCACGGCGGATGAGGAAGAGGTGGATCTGCGCTTGGTGATGAAGGAAGTCGAGATTGGTGCGGAAGAAATGGATGAAGAGTATGAAAGTGTGAGGAAAGACCAGAAGCTCTTCTTCCGGGGACTTTCAGACACATCGGTGATCTGACCCCGGGCTCTCGGGGCCACCGATTTGCTTCGATTGAGAATAAGCGATTCGGCTTTTGGATCCTCGGCGGCGGAGTGAGTTTTCATTTTGCGACGGCGTTGTTTGGTGGAGAGGAAAGAGATGCGGGTGGAGGAGGGATAAGACGGGAGATCAGAGGGGGGGAAGGAAGGTGGGGAGGAGGAGGAAGAGGAGGGAGGCGGAGGGACGGAAAAGAAGGGGTCTGATAATTTGGAGGAGGAGACGAGTTTGCCGAGCTTCTCCTGAAGACAGAAAGCGCAGATGCCTCCGGTGTTGTTGCGGTAAGGATGGTCGCTGCACTGCATTCCTTCGCCCATTTCATCCGCCATTACGGCTCCTCCTCCTCTTCCCGCTTTGTCGCCCATCGTTTCAGATGTAGAGAAAGCTGCAGAGAGAAAGAGAGAGAGGTTGTGGGAAGCAGAGTGAAAGCGGGGGACGGTTCAGGGCATGGATAGGGATGAGATCGTGGAGAAGAGGTGGGGTGCTCAGAAAACCTGGAGAAGTTGCTGTCTGATTATCTCATATTATATTTGCTTATTTTAATTCGTTAAAAGTTTAACCCAAGCGTTGAGGTTTGCACCCGGAGCAGCGGAGACACGTGAAGGCCCGGATTATCTATCTATAGGCGGAGACTACAGTGATCGACTGCCAAGAACGTTGCTTTCTTTGGGTTAATTAACAACATTAACGCTAGTATCAACTACTTCATACATTATAATTAAATTTCACTAATCAAAAATCGAAACTTTCCCCATTCTCGCCGCTGTCAATCGCGCCGCCGTCGGCCTCGCCGTGAGTAGTTCGTCAAGGCGGAGCTCGCCACCTTGGAAATCACTGTCATCCGCCTCGCCATCAACGCCGCTTCTATCCTTGTGTTTGGCAAGATTCGTTAAGGACATGAGGCTCACAAATTGAAAGATTCGCTTAACTAGGTTATTGGGTCGTGTAATATTTGTGTTTGCTTCTGCTTCTGACTGACTTCCGATTGGCATGGTGGAGAGATCTCACCTGAGTTTATTCTGCTTCAGCATTTTTACGTGCTCGGCAGTAATATTCAATTATCTTATTCTTTTTGTCAAATTAGTTTATTAAATTTTATCATATATTTTTCAACTTATGTTCAATTTTTATTATGTTCTTAATAATTTCTACTATATGTGAATTATGATGTATAGAAATATATGATTTTAAGTGATGCATTTGTCATTTTTTTTAAAGTTTATTAATGGATTTTCTTTTTTCAAATCTATACATAAATGATTATTTTTTCATTTTAATCTTAAATGATTAGTTAATAAATGTTGAATATTTGAGTTGGTTTAGAGTAGCATGGTGGGCTCCTGATGATGTTGCAGTTTCTGTTTAATTTTTTGGCGGTTTAACACAAAGTACCAAGGATGAACCTTATTTGTGCCTTTAAATTATCTTTGGGACATTTACATACATAGTAGACAATTAGTACGTAAATATTCTTTTTAGCATGATGAACACTCAAATCAGCATCGCAGAAATGTTTGTCTACTTATGTGATAAAAGATTAAAAATTATAAGAAATTTATTGAATGATAAAAATAAGAAAAATTATAGACATATCACACAATTCATGTATTTATCTATAAAACTCAAATTTTGATATTTATACTTGGCAACATTTTCGTATCATAAATGTACACATTAAAAAATTAGTGATTGTAATTATTTTTTATGTGATGTAGACGTTTGAGTGGTATGCAAATAAATATGAATGTATAGGTGTTAGATATGTAAATACATAAAAAATATATGTTATGAATGTAAATAACCCCAAAAAATAAATTCATGCAATGGTCCAGTCTTGAAAGATGTACTTTAAAGAAGCGACCGTTCAAGGGGCGAGCGAAAAGTTGGTAAGAGTTTAGTTCTATATTAAATGACCCGATGGTCCCAATGTCCCCAACACACTATGATATTAAATAGAAAGTTGAGGATCGTTACGATTTTTAGTTCATAATTTGAAATAAATTTTAAATCATTAAGAAAAAAATTACATTAATAACACCCAAATTTTGTGTACATATCTAACATATATTTCAACTTCAATTTTTTACTTGCTGGTCGGCATTTACATACATATCATCCAATTCTTATATATTTACATATCTAACACCTAAAATTTATTTTTTTACATTTAATTACCCAAATTTCTTATATTATAAAAAATGTCACTATTTTAAATTTTAAAAATTTAATACACCTTTTCTTATATCACATCAAAAACCAGATGGGCACAAATCAATAATTTGAAATATAATTGAAAGTTTTAAAGCATTAATTGAATGATTAAATGATTTCTGAAATTGGCATACTTATAATTGGATAGAGCCTATCGACGGGAGGAATATAGTGAGCTCAAGATCACTCCATTTAAATGTTATTATGACACTTAAATGTTAAAAGAATAGTCTACAATCAAAGGAATTAGCATGAATCAATCGGTGTGTCTTGAGATTTTCCAAAAAGTCCCCTAAAAAAATATAGATATACCCTCATTTTTTTATATGAAGATGAAGAGGAAAGAAAAGCAATGATTAAAGTTAAACTCATAAAAAAAAAGCTAAAAATAAATTAAAATCAATAAAAGAAAAAAAATGTTTTAAAATTTAATTTTCTCCAAATTAGAAGAAGAGTAAAACTTTGTATCTTCAAATATATAGTAGACTATTTTATCTTGGTCAAATCTTATGATTTTTTTTCTTATTTTTAGATATTTTAATTAACTTTTTTGCCATTTATCACTTTCATCTATATCTATGGTGGATACTTCTATCAATGCATGATTTAATTTTTCTATATCGTAAAGAATTTTCACACACACGACATAAGCAAAAAAGTTATGGTATGATATCTGAATATAAAATCTATCATAATCTGCATGTAAATCATATAATTTATCCTGACATTAGCAAAAAACGAGAAACATATAGTGCGTTAATTTTAAAACACTTGCATGATTTTCGGTGATATAACTTTTATTATAATTTCTTGATTTTTTTCTCTATTTCTCAAATTACAGTTTTGAATTCACATCACGAAAGAAAACATAAATTGCTACCAGACACATTATTATATTTGTTAATTGTTATCGAATATTTACACCTAAAAAAAGAGTTGGCACTTCACCTATGATACCATTCCATTAGAATTATTGTTCTCAAATTACATTTCTGAAATAGACCTCGGTGGGATAAAACTTAGCCCTTAAAATAAAACCAAATTTAAATTAGTTTAAAATATCAATCAAATAAAACATAGAAGTGCCAATTATTATAGCAATTATAAGTGCACAATTTAATATCTTTGGCCCTCCCAATTTTGACAATCACACCGGATTTAAACAAAAAAATGATATTAAACATGTACACTGTTGGTAATATTACTTCACTTTTACAAGAAAAGAGATATTTATTCTATGCAGTAATGGCTTAAAATGACATAAATTTTCCCTAATATAAAAGAGAATAGCAATCATTAACACACTCATTCAGTTAACATATTATTAATAATTTCTTTTAATGATGTGATATGTCTCACTGTAATTATATGAGTATAATGTTAAAGAAGATAAAGTTAATCACAACAATAAGCACGCATTTCTTGTAATGTTGTGGGAGATACTCATGCTCCCATCTTAATTCGGTGCATCATTCCGTCACCCCCTAAACAATTTTTTCTTTGTTTGTTTTCAAAAAGCTGGTCATGAATTAGTTGTCTTCAGTCAAAGATATAGGTTATTCAAGGAGAAAAGAGTCTTTATGTAAATACATCGATTAATGACTTATATCAGAATAGTACCCTTTTGCAGTACAAAAGCAACTCAACGATAAATTTTTGCACTTTTAAGTTCATAATTTTGAGGTAAAAAAGATTTCTATTCCTGTTGAACGACAGAGACTTGAGACGTTGATGCCATCAAGAATAGCGACTGTTTATCAATTGGTGACTAGGAAAGATTTTCAAGTTTTCATAAATTATCTCGGTGAATGTCACAAACCAATCTATGAACACTTGAAGCTTTGCTTTTCACAAAATTACCGTGCAAATAAATTTTTTGAACCGGTCAAATTGATGCATTACACATGCAGCAATTCAATCATTAAAGATTTGATAAAAATGAAAAATACTTCATCTAAAACTATTCTATCGATGTCTTTTAATAGTGTTCTTAGTTTTTAGCGTTGTTGTGTGCCAAGAAATTCATAACAATGGAGTGATTATTTAGCATTTTAGTGTTGTATGAAAATTCAACACACATCTAGATAATAAAAATAACACGTAGAGACACTAGAGATTTATACGTGGAAAATCATTAAAGGAAAAAATCACAGAGTCTATCCCGATCAGAATGACCGGTAAAAAATGGCTATAATATTCCTCCAAATGTACTATCTGTATAGAAAAGAATTCGTTGTACAATGGTTGGAAGCGGTTGCTAATTGGAGTTATCATCGTCTTCTCGGTAGGTCGTTATACAATATTGTGCTGCTCCGCAAAGGGGCTTTGTTACCATGCAACATACATCGTAATTTGCAAGGTGATAAACTACCGTGACATATCATCACTCCAGATAGGACTTCGTGGCAAAGTATGTCATTACCCTGTAATGTCTAATAATGACAACAAGGAGGAGGATTGACGGTGATCAACGACGGGCGGAGATATATGGCTAATGATGGTGGCAGTTATTAGAGTGCTCGTTATTCTTCGAATATAGAATGACTCTCATATTCGACGCCTCCTCTTCTTCCTCTCTCGGACCAGGTCTCCGTCAAGGTCCCCTTCATGAAGGGAATATAACTCTATTTATAGATTTTGGAAGTGATATTCTCTGTAAATAAAATAGGAATCTGGATCACTCCATCGGAAGACCCAAAGCAATCCCTTTGATCACACATCATTTTATGGGCATTTAAGTGTCTTAATGGTGTCAGAATTGAGTAATCTTGTGGCTCATTGAATTCGTCTCATCGAGAAGCATGATTTAAATGTAAGCTTCTCATATTTGTTATCCATTTCACCCTTCAATTTACCATCCAAAGCTTTAAAAAATGATTTAATTTCTTAATTTAGGATTTACTTGACTCAAACAGGATCAATTTTGGTGCTATTGGTGAGGTTCGTCTTGTCAAGCGAGTCAGTTTGTATGTTTCATGAGATGAGAGTCTTGAATAATTTTAATTTAAGTTTGAATGTTTCTTGCAAAAAAAGGTTCTCAGATTCATGTCAAACAACTCGGAATTTTTGCTAAATGACAAAATTCATTGATGGCGTACCATTGTCCCCCCAATTTTCAGATGATTTCACTTGTTCATTCGAATATTATCGAAATGACAAAAAATATCGATTTTCAAATTTTGTGTCTGATGCCCACGCTAACAAGCTGTTGTAGACGATGACAACAGACGACTGATGACAGGTGCGACAGCTTGCCGCTGTGGAGGTGCATAAAAAGTGTTGGATGATGATCGGGCCAAGAGCTCGGAGCAGGCGCTTGGGTCACACGGGTAGAAGGCACCCGACGCCAATCAAATTATCCTGGTGATCAGTGAAATGAGGATCGAACAACATCAGTGTTGTCCTGCGGTTTGTGTGGACTTTAGATCAAACGGTGTGGGTTCTTCACATGGGATTATAGGAGGCCGCTATGGAATCGCGAGGCTATGACATCGAATGGTGCTTTTCTTAGCTTGATCGGACAGTGGACATGGGCAACTAATTTACAATCGAATTTTGGCATATTTGGCCAGCTTTTTTGTCATCTTAAGCCTATAAATAGGCCAAAAAATGGGGAAAGAAAGCACACCTCCTTCTCGAAGTGCTTAAAGTCTCTTGGTCTGTTATTTTGCTACCTTGAATTTCCCTTAGCATGTTATTGTGCCACAATTGAGTTCCCTTGGCCTACTATTGT